ATAACACATATTAAGACTCGTGGAGTGCAGGCAAAACACTTTTCATAGAGACATATATAGCTTCTAATTCACATATTTGTAAAGAATTTAGTAAAACAGCAAAATAAAAAAGAAGGAAATAATAAAGAAAATAGAAAAAATATAATAGAAACTATGAAAACTAAAATTTGTCCTTTAAAAGGTCTAATGAAATTGATAAAACACTGTTGAGGTCTGACCCAAAAAAGAGAGAAGGTACAAATAACTGAAATTAAGAATGAAAGGAGAAACAGTAGTACAAATATTGCGTACATTAAAAACATAAGAGGATATTATGAGCAAGTAAACAGTATAAGAAACAAAAATATCTGTCATAAACACTATATATAGAGGTGAAACATACATAGTCTTTCTTTTGAGACTGGGAACAGGACAGTAAGCCTACTAACACCACTTCTTCTCCAATATTGGTCTGGAGTCCTAGCCATGTAGTAGAGTAAGAAAGAAAAGTAAAGGGCACCTCGGTGGCTCAGGCAGTTAAGTGGCTGCCTTTGGCTCAGGTCATGATCCCAGAGTCCTGGGATGGATCCCCGCATTGGGCTCCCTGCTCAGCGTGGAGCCTGCTTCTCCCTCTCCCACTCCCCGTGCTTTTGTTCCCTCTCTCGCTGTCTCTCTCCTCCTGTCAAATAAATAAATAAAAAATCTTTAAAAAAAAAAAAGAAAAGTAAATAAATTAGGAATGAAGGAACAAAACTCAATATTTGCCAATGATGTGACTGGGTGCCTTGACAATCCAAATGAATATAGAAATAATTACTGTGAGTAGAAAATTTTACGAATAGGGAAGTTTGTTGAATTTAAACATTATTTTGGGGAAAAAAACCAGCTTAATTTCTATATATTGGCAACAAAGAAAATGAAATATTAAAAAGATGCCATTTATAATAGTATCAGAAATATCAAGTACACATGAATAAGTCTAATAAAAGATATGCAAAACTTCTACAAAATGACAAAATTCTGTTAAGAGACATTACAGAAGATCTGAATGAATTAAAAATATATCATGTTCACGGATTAGAAGGCTCAGTATTGTAAAGATGTCTATTCTCTCCTAGGTTAATGTATGGATTCAATGCAATGTCAACCAAAAATCTCAAAAGGCTCTATTGTGGTTGTATTGTTTGTTTTGTTTTGTTTTTCTGGACTTGGGTAGCAGTTATATACATGTTTGTTTTTCCATAACTACTGAAACTGGACATTTATGTTTTATGCAGTTTTTGTATGCTTGCTTTATTTTAAACTAGGTAAAAGAAAGCATGGTGTAAAACAGTGTATAAAATAGAATTATTCACATATAGAGATGTATATACTGACATATACAATTTTTTTCTAACAGGAAATCCAAGAAATTATTAACATTCATTGCTTTTAGGGACAGGGATTTGAGAAGATGAAAGGAAACAGGCTTTTTTCATACTGAACCTTTTGTATTATTTGAATTTCCTAATCATGTTCATGTTAGGATTATGGGTCAATTTGTAAATTTTTATAAATTAAATAAAATTATTTAATTACTTATTTTAATGTAAAACCAGAAAGATTCAATCCTGTTAAAAGCTCCAGAGGGAAGGAAGTCAGGGAAAAATACTTTAAAGAATCATATTATAACCATTTCAGAAAGCAAATATTTTAATGATATCAACAACCTCCCTATAACTTAGGTTTCATAAATCTGCATTTCCATATTGTCTACTCTGAGGTAGGATTACCATGAAGCTAATGGATTTAAGCTTCAGAGTCCCTCACTTGGACAGGCCCTTTTAAACGCTTGTGCCTAATTTTGTATTTACAATTTTAAATACATTTTCTTAAAGAAGACTCCTCAAATTATGTAAGTTTGAAGCTCCCCAAAGCCTGATTCCAATGTAGGCTTGCGAATTATACTTAAAGGAAGGAATTCTTACCTGCCCTGAATATGAAGATTTGTAGAAATAATGAACTATGGTGGTTATGAAAATTTCTTTGAACAACAGATTCACTGAAGATACACTTTAAATCAGGCATTGAGAATTTACAGTTCACCTACTCTAGGAATGCCTTCTACTTGCCAGAGGTGAATCATTGCCTCTTGTGCACTAAATCTGTACTTTTTCTCTAATTTTATTGAGGCACGTATTTTAGTCTGTTTGGCGGCTATAACAAACACCATAGACTGGGTGGCTTATAAACAAAAGAAATTTATTTCTTACAGTTCTAGTCGCTGGGAAGTTCAAGACCAAGGCGCTGGCAGGTTTGTATCTGGTGAGTCGGCCTTCTCGTTCATAAACTGCTGTCTTCTCACTTGTGTGCTCACATGGCAAAAGGAGTGAGGGAGCTCTCAGGAGCCTCTTTTAGGAAGGCACTAATCCCATTCAGGAGGGCTCCACCTCATGATTTAATCAATTCCCAAAGATGCTACCTCTGAATACCATTACACTGGGGATTAGGTTTCAACATATGAATTTGGGAGGACACAAACATTCAGTCTTTGGCAGCCTGTATAGTGTGCTTGTTAAGCTGCTCTACTATAAAGTGAGCTACAAAATGGCTAGGACCCTGTTTCAATTATTTTTATATCCCAGGGCCTAGGAAAGATCCTAGTACGCAATAAACGTTTAATATGATGTTTTAAAAATACCGTATTGTGTGTAAAGGAAGCCTAGCCACAAGTCATCAGTTTCCTAAAATTCATATGAAACGGATACATTGCTAAACTATACACATATACATGAAGTAATTTGGTCACATTTTGCATAAGATAGATTATAAACTTTTAAGGCCAAGGACCAAACAATATTATGAATCATTTTAAAAACAAATAAAAGTACAAAAAATGTGAAAATCCAACATCCTAACACTACATTTGTTTCAGATTTTTTTAATAAAAACCTACAAACATAACAGACTCCACCTTTAAACCATTCCCTGATACTATCCCTTCACCTCTCTCCTGAGATATGAACCCCACCCTGAAGTTGGAGTGTATCCATCCCGTCCATATGTTCTCATTTTTAACCACTTAAGAAAATATATATACAAACAATAGATACTAGTAGTCTATGTTTAATAGATTAAGCCAGCATTATCTAATACAAATACATGAGCCACATGTTTAAACATTTAAACGTCCTCGTAGCCACATTTAAGACAATAGAGACAGGTAAATATTATTTTAATGTTATATTTCATTTAAGCCAGTATGCTCAAAATATTATCATTTCAACCTGTAATCAATATAAAAATTATTAATGAGCCATTCAATATACTTTTTAAAAGTTTTCTGATACTAAGTCTTTGAAATCCTGCTAGTTCATACTTACAGCACATCTCAACTTGGATTCTAAATTTAGATTTCACAAAATTTAAATTGAAAAAATATATTCATATATCCAAGTTGTTCCAAACACACTTAAAGGTTTTCCAATAACTGAAATCCGTTTTTAAAATTTAAATTAGTTAAAATTAAATGAACAATTTGGTTTTTCAGTAGAAATAACCCCATTTCAAGTGTTCAATAGGCACATATGGCTATCAGACACCAGCTGCACTGCAGAGTGCAGCTTTAAAAAGTAACACAAAATACTTACCATTCAGCATCTTTCTTTCGCCCATTCAATTTGGGTAATATTTTAATGTTTCTTTTTTTTTCCTTTGACCTATCCTAGAACGGAAAAGCACAGATGGAATGGAGGGCTTTGAATTTCAGGGCAGATGACATTTACTTTTTTTTTTTTAAATCATCTATCACTAAATTCACTCAGCAAGTCTAAAAGAACTTTCAAAAGAACCTGCTTCGTATTTTTATTTAAACAATGGGATTGCTAAACAGGATACATCTGATAAAAACAGTGACACGCTGCAACTAGGAAAGGTGCAGCTTTCGTATTAGCCGCTCCCATTCTTCTACCCCGCCCTCCACAAGCACGCGCCCACAGGCACGCACGCACACACTCGTACAAACACACACGCACTCTACACGCACAAGCACACAGGCGCTGGCAGGCACCCAAGAAAATGCAGTTCTTTCTCGCTTCTCATTCCGTAGAGAGAACGCCCGGAAGTTTCTGAGGATCACTCACGCTAACTTGGTATTGGTGGGGGTTCCACGTCCCCTTTTATAGGATACTGGACTCCGCCCCTTTCCAGGTCCATTAGTGGAGAAATTGTAAAGGTTGGAGGTGGAGGCGGAACAAAGCCCTGTTATAACCAGTCAGCAGCTCCACCTCAGGAAGCGGCCAACTTTGTGCACCCAGGAATGAAACCTGATCCTTGCAGAAACATGCAAGGATTTAAAAACGGCCTTAAACTGAGGCACTTGGGAAGAGGCCCTGTCACGGTCAAGGTCGGGATGGGTGTTTTTGCCTAAGCAGGGGCCCCTAAACAAGTCAATGAATGGAACGGTTTTCCAGCCGCCTTGTTAGCAGCAGGATCTGCAGGACCTCCAGGGCCTGAAGAGCGCCAGCTTCACTGAGTTCTCGGTTTGGGTTTCCCACAAAAGCATGGCCACACCAAAAATTCTTTTTCCACAGATAGGAAAACGGCCCTGAAACTTTTTTACTCCATACCTTCACTCCCTTCCCCTCCTAGCCCCCGCCCCCTGCATTTTGCGCTTCGCCTCAGGAGCTGAGTGACCTCTTCGTCTGGAATGCTAACTCTGCAAAATTCCGGTAGCCAAACAAACCAACTTCCCGGGAGAGACAAGAAGCGAGAAAACATCACAACCCCCAAACACACGCCCCTGTTTTCCCCGTGCTTAAAAAAAAAAAAAAGAAGAAGAAAGAAAGAAAAAAAAAAAAAGCCCTGCCCGTGGCCACGCGATGCATGCTAGGATAAGTAGTTCCCCCAATCCCCAAGGCGCCGAGTCAGGGAGGAACTCAAGTTGATTTCCCCCGCAGAGAACTACAATTCCCGTGGTGCCCCGCCACAGAGTGGAAGGGGCGGGACAGGAGAGAGCGCGTCGCGCTTGCGCAGGTCGAGGGGCCGGAGGGAGGCGGAGGCGCCGGGGGCCGACTGCTGAAGCGTCTCCATGTGACAGTGAGCGGGGTCGTAACTCCTGGCGCCGCCCGACTCTGGTTCTTGAACCAAAGCACTTGTCCCGGCGCCAGCAGGCAACAACAGGCTAGGACGTTTGGTGTCTGGCCGTGCCGCCGGAGGGATTGCCTCGGCGGGGTCAGGTGCCTGAGGGACCCTGCGGAGACCCCGGAGTCTCCCGAGAGAGGCGGAGCGGGGATTTCTGTCAGCACCGGCATCCCAGAGCGCGGAGACATGAACGGCTTCACGCCTGAGGAGATGAGCCGCGGCGGGGACGCGGCCGCCGCAGTGGCCGCCGTGGTCGCTGCCGCCGCGGCTGCCGCCGCTTCGGCGGGGAACGGGGCAGGGGCCGGCGCCGGGGCTGAGGTGCCCGGGGCCGGGGCCGTCTCTGCAGCCGGGCCCCCGGGAGCGGCCGGGCCCGGCCCCGGACAGCTGTGCTGTCTGCGGGAGGACGGTGAGCGGTGTGGCCGGGCGGCTGGCAACGCCAGCTTCAGCAAGAGGATCCAAAAGAGCATCTCCCAGAAGAAGGTGAAAATCGAGCTGGATAAGAGCGTAAGTGACGGCGGGATGGCCCTGCCTTGCCCACCCCCTTGGGGCTCCTGGAGAGGTGCCTACAGGGATTGTTGGGCGGAGGGTTCAGGGGTCCCCCTAGACCTGGCTGCAGTGCGAACCCGTTGTGTGGTCTCTGGTAGGAGACAGACAACAAAGTCGCTGCAACTCCGACTGCCACCCCCTACAGACACATACTTGCACGCCGCGGTTCCGCTCCTCCCCCACGCCTCCTCTCCCCCCCCCCCCCACGCTCCCTGAGTCCGTTCTGCTCACTGTCTAACCCCTTCCTCCTTCATCGACATCGGGAAACGAAACAAAGGGGACCGCCGCTCAGAGGGCCCGGAGTAGTTTTCTTGTAGCCCGGCAGCTCCTTCTGGAATGGAGATGCCTTCTTTGTTTTGCTGCCCTAGCTGGCGTGTGGCCCCAGGGAGTAACTCGTCTCGTGTAGGCAAAAGTGGAGTCTTTGCAAAGACCAAGGACCTGATACTGCAGTAAAGAAAGACCCCTTTCCTCGTTTGTCCGAGTATGGAGTGAGGGGAAGCGAGCTCACCCCGCGCCTTGCTGGGAGCGGGGATTGTGAACGATGTCAGCATCTAGCGCAGCTGCTCGCAACGTGGGGAGCACGTAGCCTCTGCGGTTTTGCCATCCCTTTGGCAGCCATCGGGATTTCTTTTTCAGTCCTTTTACACGTCTCGCTTTTTTTGACCATCTATGAGGTTTTTAGAAACAACCATTGCCACTTTTCGGAGCTCTGGCTGGCGGTAAATGAGTAACAAGATGCCAGAACCTAGCACATGTCCTGCATAATTTTAACTTGGATTTAGTTTAGAAGTTAATTAAAAGCCTTAGTCTTTAATCGTTCGGTTTTTTTAAAGGAGTTTAACTGTTAATATATGCAGCCCAATATTTCAGATGTTACCGTACAGCTCTCAAGACTACATTTAATTGAAGCTTTTGCCGAGTTTGTGATACTTTATGCCTGTTAAGGGCATACTTGTCATACTTTGTGCCTGTTAACTAGTTCGTGCTCTTATGAGCAGGCACGCTCATAAGAAACTTTTCAAGTAAACTTGAATAATTTCACATTGCTTTGGTTGGAAAACGCAGTACAAATAAATACATTAAATACTCGGAAGTTTATAGTTCAAATTTAAATATAAGCATATGAAATCAGCTCATTTGTAAAAGGGAATAGTTTTGTATCTGGATTATAAAAAGAATAGGAAGCATAATACATCATGCTCCTAAAATATGCTCTTTAAGTAGAGAAAATATTACCAAATAGCAAAGTTGTGGGCAACATATCTTTCCCCTTGTTAAAAAACAGCATGACCTAACAAATCTAGTTCACCCTCACTGCAATTTAATGACAAAATCCAGAGTTGGAATTTCGCATTCTGTTTCTCTGCCTCCCTTCCTCCCGTTCACCCCACCCCACTCCCCAATCTAACAATACAGGATTTAAGCATAGAAGCATGCTGTTGTCTTAACAATGGCCTGTTTTGACTGTTGTTTTTATTTTTAATAATTCACTGTGCTCTATGTATTTTACTAATACATGGACACATTACATAATCATAAGTAGTCTGTGAAACTTTTCTGTTTCAGGCAAGGCATCTTTACATTTGTGATTATCATAAAAACTTAATTCAGAGTGTTCGAAACAGAAGAAAGAGAAAAGGGAGTGATGATGATGGAGGAGATTCACCTGTTCAAGATATTGATACTCCAGAGGTAGATAAAGTTTCTGTATGTTAAATGTAAATCCTAAGTATTTCATTCTGAAACTTATATTAAAAAAAGAACAAATTTTAAAAATGCTTAAAGCGAAAAATCTGAAAATGAAAGCAAAATTAAATATAGCCAGTTAACAAGCAGTTGTAGTTTGACTTACGTTTTCAGTTGACAATGCTTATAGCTCTATTGCCTTCTGACTTCTTTTTTGCTCCCAATTTTCAATATTTATATTCAGAAGATTAAAGTGTACAATATATTTATAGTTTTGATTATATAAAAGAAATAATGGAATGGAATTAAATAATATAATTTTTGTTATTTCATAATGGAATTACAGAATTACATTTTTATTGTGCCAAAATTGAAATCTTATTGTACGTATCAAAGATAACTATTTTAAAAAAATGCATGAACTAATCCTTACATGTTTATTTTTTTCTAGGTTGATTTATACCAATTACAAGTCAATACACTTCGGAGATACAAAAGACACTTCAAACTATCAACCAGACCAGGACTTAATAAAGCACAACTTGTTGAGGTATTTATGAGTTTTAAACTATTTATACTTTAAATGAGCCTGTTTATACAAAAAAGAGTCATTAAAGGCTAAGGAAATTGTTAACGTAGTGTATATAACAATACATTTTAGTTAGAAAGATCAGTTAATAAAAAATCTATTGCGGAAGAATCTAGTTTCCTAGAAATGTTTGTCTGCCTCTTAAATTCCTTTATAATACAACCACTCAGTGGATTGTATGTAATTTTCTAAGCATTTTTTAATACTGGCTTTCAGAAATACTGGGTGATAATTTTTAAATTCTCATTCTGGAAATCTGTTGGTTTTAAAATTCCACTTAGTAAACATTTATTGAACACCTAATGGAGGCATAATAAAAGAAATTGATAAGCTTTGTTGTCTTTATTAGAATTTTTTTTTAAGTTTTTGATGGATTAGGTCTACTGATTAGACCGTAAATAGTATTCCTATAACTTGTTGATTTAACTATTTCAGAATTTGTCCTTGTTGATGTTTGTTTTGAGGCATCTGTGCTTTCTTCACATCTGGAAGATGCAAAGACTTTTATCCAAGGCTTTCCTTAGTTTGCTTTGATATAGAACTTCTAGTCTTTTCATAAATTTTGGAATATGTGTGTTCTCAGGAATTAATAGAACCAAGAAATATGTGAATCCTATTAAGGTGTTTATAGACTTGTATATTTATATTTTAATCATTTTAAGTAAAAATACTTAATCTATTAGAATAGAAATTAAATATATAAATCAGTTTTCTCCATATTTTTCAGCTTGGGTTTAATAATGCAACGTTTTCTAAAACGTGCATATTGAATATAGTAAAAGATACAGAAGGTACAATTCTTTGGCAGAATGCTTTTTTAACGTTGTTAAGATCTAATATATTGACTTTTTAGCCAGAATTTCTTCTTTCCTTCTTGCCTAAGCAACAAAAATTAAGTTTTTCTTTATATTTGATTTAAAAGATCCAGTCCTTTTTAGGTTGTATAGTATATTGATATAACATAAACATAGATACTATCTACCATGATGAAACTGTATCCATATATACAGATACTAATCAAGTGGAAGGTACTTTTGTTTTGGGACAAATGAGAACCAAAGAACTGATTATTATAAATGTTACATATAACGTACAGTTGTCCCTTGAACGACAAGGGGTTAGGAGCATAGTAAAAAATAACTTTTGATTCCCCAAAAACTTTACTAATAGCCTACTGTGGACTGGAAGCCTTCCTGATAATATAGTCAACATATTTTCTATGTCATATGTATTTTATATATTTTTACTGTATTCTCAATAAAGTAAGCTAAAGGAAAAAAATGTTAACAAAATCATGTGGAAGAGAAAATACATTTACAGTACTGTACTGTATTTACTGAAAAAAAAAAAGTGTGTAAGTGGACCCTCACAATTAAAACCTGTGTTGTACAAGGGTCAGAAGTATGTACTTTTTAAGTGTACCTGAAATATTTGATAATCTGATATTTAAAAAGTTATATTATTTCTAAAGCTACTTTCTTCTTTAGAAATGAGAAAAAATCCAAATGGCCATGAAAATTATAGTTTACTTAGTCATGAGTGATTCCAGAGTTTAGGTGACTGTCCTCTTTAAATCTCTTAATTATTGTCTGAATGACATTTTAGGAAGTTTTATCTTCCACATTCTAGATATGCATATGAACACCCCAGTTTAGTCTGTTGTATTCCTCTTGGTTGTTATAGTGCACATGTTGGATTAGCAGAATGAAAGGCCAGAAAGCAGATATTCTTCAGTGAACATCTCTCTTTCCCTTCTCATTTTCCATCCATAAACTTTATTCAGAAAAACTTTCAAGGAACCTTTTAACAAAGAGTACTGCCAATGAATGAATAAGTTAAAGCAAATATATTTGTAAGATAGTTTATCATTTGTATAGAACCAAAATTTTTTCAACTTATATATTTATCCTTTTTCTGTGTGAGTAGGGTCTCCATTCTGTTTTATTTCATTGGTACTTAAAGTTTAAAAATACTTACCTCCTGATGTAGATTCTAGTTATAAAATTTAAAAGGTAATAATATTCTAATTAAAAATGTATGTTTAACTGAGTGGATTGGTGAAATCATACTATCTCTTCTTCATAACATTTTATTCTTACATGCTTTTCATCTTGTTGGTATTTTGTTAAATAGTTTATTTTTAAAAGGAAATAGCTCTTATCACATAGCCTTTTTTCTTTAGATGAATGTGTTTTTTTACCTAGTATGACATCTGTCAATATCTATAATTTAATTTCAATTTTTTTTTTTTAATAGATAGTTGGTTGCCACTTTAGGTCTATTCCAGTGAATGAAAAGGACACCTTAACATATTTCATCTACTCAGTGAAGAATGACAAGAACAAATCAGATCTCAAGGTTGATAGTAGTGTTCACTAGAAGAGATGGAATTGAGACTGAGACTTGGATGTTCTGATGTTAAGACTGTTTACTGTTTTTTCACATGTAGAAATGTTCCTTGTGTATTTTTTTACAGAGGATTTTCTCTGGTTTTATTTTCTTTGTTTCTGACTCTTAATAAATTAGTTGGAAACTCGTGTAAAATGAGCTTTCCTAGATTGAAAAATATTTTAAATAAAGGTGATTACTATTATAGTTGCTTCAGTGTATTTATTTTGTGAAATTTGATTTTTATGTTAAACTCACAAGGTACTAGTTTTAATTGAGAGTTTAAAGATCATTTTGTTACCACCTTTTTTTTTTTTTTTTTTAATTCCAAGAAATTAAGAAGTAACAAAGAGCACATTTGCTTTCTCTGGGACAATCTGATTTGGAATTAAAGATATCCTAATGCTATAAAGTACTTTTTGGTGCTAATGGGTTTGAAAAATAGACTTCCTTTGGGGGTGCAACTTCTTTTTTATTTCCTTTTTATTATTATTATTACTTGAAAAAGTATTAGGAAGAACAAAGAGTTTAATTTATATGCCTACCTCCTTCCAAAGAAGACTTAATGTGCCAGCAAAAGTAAACACAGTGCTGAAAGTTGAAATAACATAGAATTAGTTTTGTTTCTTTAAATTTTCGTAGGGAAAAGGTGTTTATATGGCATGAACATAGAAAGAAGTTCTGCAGTGCCCTTTAATTTTCAGTCATGTCCTGTACTGTTTACACTGCAAATTAAAACTAGTAAGTTGGAGAGATATAGAAATCCAGCAAGATCTTTAAATTTTGGTCCATACATAGCTCTGATTTGATTTATATTCTGCTTTCTTTTACATTTCATTCTCTATCAGTTTTCTATTAAAGGTCTCATAGTTGCCAATCAAATTTATACCTTATGACATCAAAACAAAACAACAGCTTCAGTTAATGTCCTTGATTAGGGTGCAGATTTTAGGCTGAAAATGGATCAGAACATTAATGTAGCTCAAGGTTTCTCTCCAAGGTTGACATTTGGGCCTGATAATTCTTTACCATGGGAGGCTATCGCGTGTGTTTGTAGTTTTAGCAGCATCACTGCAGTCAACACTAGTGCCAGTGACACTCTGAAGGTGTGACAAAACTATCGCTAAATGTTGCCAAACGCCCTGGGAAGCAAAATCAGCCATGGTGAAGAACTACTGATTTAGCTACATGTAAAGTAATGGTTCATTAGAAAGTTAGTCTGTGTATTTTTAAGTATTCTGAGTGTATTGACATCTAGAAAATACAGTGAAAAATAAAGCACTGGTCTTTGTTCTTACTATACCATTTAAAGATTTATAGTTGACCCTTAACCAATGCAGGGGTTGGAGCAACCAACCATTTCCAACCAGTTGGAAATCCATATACAACTTTTGACTCTCCCAAAACTTAACTACTAATAGCCTACTGTTGGCCGGAAGCCTCTCCAATAACAGTCAATTAATATACATTTTGCATGTTACATGCGTTACATACTGTATTCTTAAAGTAAGCTAGAGAAAAATGTTTTTGAAATCATAAGGAAGAGAAAGTACATTTGCAGTAATGCACACTGTAAAGAATCTACATATACATGGATTTGAACAGTTCAAACCCATGTTGTTCAAAGGTCAACTGTACTTTTTGGTGAGCAGAGACTCTGATAATTGGTATTATAAAATCCTCTCATTTTTGGCATTCCAGAAGTCTCTCTGTGAGAAATTTTTTCTTAAACGTCTGAAAGTGAGCCACATAACTACAAGATGTGGCGGTGGTTTATTTGAAGAAAATATTACCTCTACATATTTTTATCTAAATCTATGTAAAAAGTTAATTTTTTAATAAAACTTAACTATAGGCTTACTTTTCCCTATAAAAACACTCTGTTCTTGTGAAAGAAGTTGGAAACCATTTGCTTACATTAAATTATCTGTTTATGGATATAACCTTTGACTAACTTAATTTCGTAGTTAATTATTTGCATAAAATGTAGTTGGATAAAAGTGAAAATAAGAGTTCTGGGTGTTAGTTATCCAATGAAATTAAATCCTTGTTGAGCAATTTAAAACATGAAAAACTGAGAGAACTTCATCAAAGCTCAGAAACTCAAGATGCTGCAATGTAAAAGAATCCAAAATTGACTGTGAAGTAGAAGGAAGAAAACATAATGAAATAAGCCCTGATGGTTTCCTTGTCAATGAGTTAAATAAATCTTTGCCATATGCTCACTAAAAAAAAGAAAAAGAAGTCAGTTATTTGGTAGAACTACCTTTTATTGAACATTTAAGAAAAGGCTAGAAATACCTGAAATATAGATCTTTACAAAAACAAGCTCTATATTATTTCTACATAAGATTTTTTTTTAAGATTTTATTTGAGAGAGAGCATGAGTGGGGGGAGGGGCAGTCTCCCCTTAAGCAGGAAGCCCGATAATGGGCTCTATCCCAGGACCCTAGGATCATGACCTGAGCCAAAGGCAGACACTTAGCAAACTGAGCCACCCAGGAGCCCCTACATAAAGTTTTTTTTTTTTTAATTGAGCCAAAATGTATATGGTAGTATTATTTTAATACTACCATATACATGGTATTATTTATAATACCATTTTAAACTGCATAATTTGTTGGTATTTAGTGTATTCACAATGTTGTACCACCACCAACTCTAATTTCAACATTTTTCATTACCCCATAAAAACACCCATAAGTACTCACTCCCAATTCCTCCTCTTCGTCCCCTGATACCTCTAATCTGCTTTCTGTCTCTATGAATTTGCCTATTTTGGATATATCCTATAAAGGAAATCATATATGTTCTTTTGTGTCTGGGTTTCATTTCACATAGCATATGTGTTCAAGGTTTATCCAAGTTGCTGCATATTTATCAGTACTTTGTTCCTTTTAATGGCTGAACAATAATCCATTATGATATATATATATATCATAGCTAATATATGTGAGAGATATATATATATATATATCACAAATTGTTTATTCATCCATAGATGGACATTTTGGTTCCTAGCTTTGACAATTAATAATGCTGACTTGAACATTTGTGTGTAAGTTCCTATGTGGACATGTTTTCATTTCTTTTGGGTATATATGTAGGAGTAGAATTGTTGAATCACATGGTATTCTATATTTAACTTTTTGAAGAACCTCCAGATTTCCATAGCGGCTGTACCATTTCCATTCCCACCAGCAGTGTACAAGAGTTTCTATTTCTCCAAATCGCCAATACTCGTATTTCCTTTTTTTTTTTTTAATTAAAGCTTTCCTACTGGGTGTGAAGTGGTATCTCATTGTAGTTTTGATTTGTATTTCCTTATTGACCGATGATTGTATATCTTTTCACGTGCTTTTGCTGACTTGTATGTCTTCTTTAGAGAATATTTATTTAAATCCTTTGCTTATTTTTCAATTGGATTGCTTATCTTCTTGTTGCAGGAGTTTTTTATTCTGGATATGGATATTAAGTCCATATTCAATATATTTTCTCCCATTCTGTGAATTGCCTTTTCATATTCTTGATAATGTTCTTTGATGCACAAAAGTTTTTAGTTTTTATATAATCCAGTTTATTTTTTCTTTTGTTACTCATATTTTTGGTGTCAGATCTAAGAATTCTTTGCCAAATCTGAGGTTATGAAGATTAACCCCTATTTTTTCTAGGTTTTATATATATATATATGTATATATATATATATATAATAACTTTAGCATTTAAATTCAGGTCATTGGCCCATTTTGTTCATTACTGGTGTACAGAAACACAACCGATTTTTGTACGTTGATTCCCTACAACTGTGCCGAATTTTTTATTACCTTTAGTGGTATTTATGTATATTCTATGAGATTTTTAATATGCTGTTGGCTTGATATATTAATATTTTTTGAAGATTTTTGCATCTATATTCATAAGGTATATTGGTCTAGAGTTTTCTTGTACTGTCCATGTCTGACTTTTGTATCAGGATAATGCTGATATAGGTTTTTATTTGTAAAATTCTTAGAATATAGGGGCTATATATATGCTACATATTTCTCTCCAGATACACCACTCTGCAAAGATGAGCCCATTATGGTGATAGCACTCTATAGAAGTATATTGGGGAAGATGGGCTCAAGCACTCTATAGAAGTAAATTGGGGAAGTTAAATCAGTCTCAATTTACCATAATTTTCTTTCTTTTTTTTTAAAGATTTTATTTGAGAGAGAGAGAGTGGGAGTAGGGGAAAAACAGGGAGGGGAGAGAAGGAGGGGGAAAGAATCTCAAACAGACTCCACACTGAGTGTGGAGTCCAATGCGGGCTTGATCTCAAGACCCTGGGATCATGATCTGAGCTGAAACCAGGAGTGGGACACTTAACTGAGCCACCCAGCACCCCAATTTAGTATAATTTTTTAATATCAATTTCTCTTCAAGTCTTTGAGAGAAAAGTTTAGGCTGAGGCTGTTAATGCAAAATGATTTAGAAATATATGAATTTGATTATTTTTTCTTTTTGGGAAAATTATTTTGAAGCCCGTAATGTTCTACTGATGTGATTATTTACATTTTAAAAACACTTGTCATAATATTTTGCAAAAATAATTTCTTTTGGAAAGAACTCATGTGTACATGTTAGCAACTATAAGGAAGTTAAAGTTTGAAGATCTGTGAGTGTTCTTATCTGTCTGTCCTTCCGTTCCTCCAGTAGTTATTGCTCATTGTTTGGGTTCTCTATATAGCTTCCAATTCTCTAATAATCTTTTATGATTAGTACTTAATCCCAGCAAACAAAAATATTCAAGGCATCCCTTCGGATTATAAGGAAAAGAGAAATTTTATCAAGAAGAGATGAGCTATTAGTATTACTGTCAACTTTGTGCTCAGATTCATAATAAGGAAAAGGATATAAAACATCCAAGATAAAAATATAGAAATTGTTAATTCAGTAAGCATTTAGCTTATATGAGCTAGCTGAAGTGTACAATCATATGTCCCACATCAGTAAAGGTTTGTTTTCCTAAAAAGGAAGTAAATTAGATGATGCTGTTAAATAACATAGTGGTTAAGATTATAGATGCTATCAAAAGTAATGAAATCTTGCAATTTGTAACGACGTGGATGGAACTGGAGGGTGTTATGCTGAGCGAAATAAGTCAATCAGAGAAAGACGTGTATCATATGACCTCACTGATATGAGGAATTCTCAATCTCAGGAAA